TGCAATGCTTCTATGACTACATAAAGACAACAAAGTAATCAGCTCCTCACTAGGATTTTATCTTTCATAATCTATTTCATCTGAAAATGAAATAGACTCACAGTTTTTCATCATCTTAAGTTGATCTAAAGCAAAGTTTCAAGTTTACTGTTTTATTCAGTATGAATCACTTGTTTCACTTTAGGCAGTACGGTATATATACATTTTCAATCCTGTGTTTTAGCTTCATTCAAGCCAACAAATATGAGAACAGTATCCAGCCGTCAAACTGGCTGAAGAACTGAACCACTAGGGGAAAATGGAAGCAACATTAAAAATTGAGAGCTGCAGCAAGTTTTCCCTTGTGAATATATCACCACACCAGGAACCAAGGGGCTTAAATCATGGAGTGATTTTGCAAAACTTAACAATCCAACAGCAAGTACTATGTTGCAGACAGTTTCACGCTGCCAAATCCCATTTTAAGGAAACTGGAAGTTGCAATTATTCGGATAATAACTTGTTCCTCAAACTTAGTCAGGATCTCAGTTGGCAGAAGTCTTTGTCCATGCCAAGAGGAAACACTGCCAGGCACACACAAAATGGAGTAGACGATGTGCAGCTGTTGCAGGAACACCCCAAGGGCAAGGCACAGGGCAGGTAGGGCTCAGCCACGTGCTCCCTGAGCACACCGTCTTCTGTGGGCACACACTTCTACTCACTGACTTTCTTTTTAGAGGAGAAATCTGTGAAAAACAGCAGGAAAAAGTTTCAAATTAAAAATTAAAATTCCATTTTTCTTCCTCTAGATTGAGGCTAACATAAACTTCTACGCTGGCCAAAAAGAACTCCCCTCCAGTTTACACTGAGAAATCAAGAGGCAGGAATTGGAGGGTTATTATTTTAAGCAATGACATATGCTTGCCATTTTGCGAAATCAGTTGTGGCTTAGTCCTAATCATTCTTGAAGTAGAATGTGCTCTACTAATTCTCATTCTGGCTAGCATTCCAGTGGTTTGGGCACTTCCTCATGAAAGTAAGTCATTTCTCTTGCTATTAGAGTTAGCATTTACCCCAGAGAAAGATAATTTGCAAATGAGCACAAGGCCGCAAGTTAAAATACGGCCCTGGGCATGTTGTCAGAGCTGCAGAGATCACTGTTCTGAAGACTTGTGAGAGCATCATGAAGACCAGTAAGAAAAATGTAGTATCAATCTAGATGGATTGTCCCAAATGAATATTACAGGGAAGATTAAAAATCAAAGACATTTACATACAACAGGAAAAAACTTACAAAAATTAAAAATGCCAAGAAAGTGCTTTCATTATAGCTTGAAAACATGTTGACTGTTTATATTTGCTATCTTGCATTTATTATATCAAAGATATATGCCACACTAACATTTTTTAACAGCGAAAACAGCAAACCTAACAGGAAGACAGTAAGTTTCCTGTGACTATTAAATTCAAAATATGTTTAAGGTTGAGGATATAGTTCGATGGTATAGAATTTGCCTATCAGTGTGCAAGATCCTGCACTCAATCCCCATTACTGACCCCACACACACATGGGAAAGTGAAAAGTGAACTCAAAAATTTAATTCATAGATCCATCAATCTGAAGTTAAGACTTAGCTAATTAATGATACTATTCTCAGGTATTCATTTAAAAATATTTTTTAAAAAAACCCTTTTTTATTTGTTTAGTCCTCTTGTGAAAGAGGTTAGAATCAAGGTCACTATTGTCAAGATTTAGATGGAGAGAGCCCCTAAGATAACCCATGGCAGAATGGAAATTTCAACAAAAAGATAGGTCTTGGAATTTCCCTATACAGTGAACGCAGAAACGTCTCTGGTTCTCAAGCTTGGCTCCTGGTCACAATGACAAGGGAGTGAAAGGCCACCAGCAAATCACAGGTGCTCTCTGTGCTAGAAGACACAGCTGGATCCCACGAATATGACTTGTTTTAAAATGCAGTAGGGTCTTTGCAGCTGTAATCTGGTTAAAATAAAGTCATCCTAGATCCAAGCGGGCTCTACTGCAACATGAATGGTGCACTAACAAGAAAAGAAAACTTTGCAGATGGACACAAGGAAAGACAGTCATAGGAAGATGAAGGCCAGAACTGAAGCTATACTGCCATGAGCCATGGATTTCCAGGAGCTACCAGAGCTGAGAAAGGCTAAGAAGGAAATTCCTTTAGGTGTCTTTGGAGGGAACACAACCCTACCAGCGCCTTGAGTTTTAACTTCTTGCTTCCATTATTTTTCTATTTTGTGTTTAAATACAAAATAGTGATAGAAAAAGAAAGCATTAGAAATGATACAAGATTCCACTAAACAAAGTTGCTTCCAGAGCTGTTAAGAATACCTTCCTGACCTTTTATGTCACTTGGTTTCTATTTTAGAATGCCTGCTGCTGAAATGAGAAGCTCACTTAGTTTCTAGCACTGTGTTATTAGGGAAGCTCTATAACAAAGTAAATCAATATTTACCTATAATTTGTTACTGTTAGACATTTGTAAAGGACAATTGCAATATTGAGGGCTTGCTCTTTTTGTCATAAAGTAGTATTTCTTCTTGCTTATAGCACAACCTCACAGTTAAGGAATATGTAAGAAGTGAGCTCAAGCTCACCAAAGTTTACCTCTGCACCACATGAAAACTTCGCAGCCAGGACTGGCCTGCAGTGCAGTCAGGAATCACAGCTATTTCACATTTCAGAGAAGAAAAAACAAACCACACAGTTTCAAAGCTATCCTGACTAACCCTGCCATGACTGTTCTAGAAACATGGAAGTCATTTTGCATCCCACTCTGATAGCATATGAAATGTGATTTAAATATCCTTTGTAAAATCACATGTTTCTAGACAGGGACTGTAACTCATTAGCATCTTTCAATTCAATATACTAAAAAGGCCATTTGATGCCAAAATAAAAGCGAGTAGAGGGCAGGGGAAAGAGAATTGAGATGGGTTATGTCCATGTACCAATTCTCTACGATAAATGTAATCATTATGTACTGCAAACATGTTAAGAAAAATTAAAAATAGAAACAGAAAAAAATTGAAGTTGGTAGAAGGCTATTTCATTCTTATTTATTTATTATTTCATTCCTTTTGGTGAGAAAATAATGCAAGTTTCAAATGCCTTAAAATTTTTCATTTAAAATAATTTTTCTTGGGGCCAGAGACATGGCTCAATGGAGTAAGTGCTTCCTTGGCAAGCACAAAGGCCTGAGTTCAATCCCCGGTTCCATGAAAAAGAAAGAAAGAAAGAAAGAAAGAAAGAAAGAAAGAAAGAAAGAAAGAAAGAAAGAAAGAAAGAAGAAAGAAAGAAAGAAAGAAACTTTAAAATAATTTTTCTCCTTTGATTTCAGAGATTAAACCCAGGGCCTTTGTTCTAAGTTCTATTCCTAGCTCTTTTTTATTTTTTATATTTTTGAGACAGAGTTTTGCTAAGCCACTAAATTGCCCAGGATAGGCTTGAGCTTGTGACCTCCTACCTCAGTTTCCCAAAGTTCTGAGATTATAAGCCTGCACTGAAGGAAGAAATTTTAAAAAAATTAAACAGGAGCCTGTTCAGGATGTCAACCAAGACTAAGGAGATGTGTCTGGCAGACCCAATAACAGAACAGTCCTTCATTTGTATAAACCCTTGCTTTTACTGCCTTTGTGTAACTGGTGGTCTTGCAGTGTAACTTCAAATATAGCCAGACACTTCTTCCTTTGTGTAACTCCTGCTTGCTTAACTTAAGGCCTTGCAATGTAACTTGAGATATTTAAATGTCCCTAGCAACCATGATGTCATCCATCCCTCCAAACATAATGCCTAATTTGCTTTTATACCTGTCCTCTTATCCTCCCTATAAAAGTGTTCACCAACCCCCATTGGTGCTAAATCTTTGAGAGTGATCCCTATCAAGCTCTCCACTGTAAACAAACTGTCCTAAATCTTCTTGGTACTATTTCTTCTTGTGATTTGTCTGTTTTATATAATAGTACCACCATACAAGCTGCTGAGAGTCTTCATTTTTCTTGAAAGATGAATTGATTTTTACTGTGTTTAAAGAGCACCCAAAAGTAAAAACATACAGCTATGAGATCAAAACTGGGAGCAGAAGGCCATTGTGTTTGGTATAAATTGCTCCCTGGCTGGGGCACTCTTCACTGGGTCCCATACTGCACTGCGCCCTGGCACTCCCCAGCCATGCCCCTCCTTACAAGATAAACATCCCTTCCTCCTGAACAGGCTTCTGGCACCCCGCTGGGTTCTCTGCCCAGGTGCCTCTGGCTGTGCTCCCAGGCCATGTACAGGCTCTTCTCAAGGCCCAAGTCTGTGCAGGGCATTGTGTGTATGGGAGTGAAGGGTGTAGGGAGGAGGCTAGGATGTGCCAGTGGAACTGTCCTCAATCAACACTCTAGAGCCCATGCAATGGGAGGAGGGGACAAGGGGAAGGAGGTCCAGCACAGGTCTTCCTAGGCCACCATGTCTGGAAAAGAGCTGACTTTGGAGCTGAGCATTTCAAGTTTACTGTAGTATATGTATAAGAGGACAGACTACACTTTTAAGAGGTTCTAAGTTTGATTTATAAAATTTACGCAGAACACATGCAACTCTCCATTTATTCTTGTGTCAGGCTTCAAGAATTTCAGAAGAGGATCTAGTGGTATTATTGAAATTTAATCCCTCATTTTTCACTGTACCTGTTAAAATGCATAATGCTATTTTTCTATAAGCCTTCAACAAGAAAACAGAACTACTATTCACATTTAATTGTCACAAGAGAAATAATCAAAATAGGGGAAAGTAAGACAAAACTATAATGTAATACATTTATTAGAGATCTAAAAAGATAAACTTGTGAATAACCAGGAAAATCACCAAAAGAGAACTAGATGATTTACAAGCCATACCAGATGAATTAATATTCATTTTAAATATCCACATTTCTAACATAACTACCACATGATCTAACCAGTTCATTTCCAGGGAATAGCTAAAGGAAATGAAATCAAGAGATGAAAGAGATACCTGGCCTCCTGTGTTTATTGTAGCACTGTACATAATAGAGACGATACGGAATCAATCTTAGCAATGACAGATGAATGGACAAAGAAAATGTAGTCTACATACATGATGGAGTATTATTCAACCTTAAGAGAAATGAAATTCTGTCATTTGCAGCAAAATGGATGGAACTGAAGGGCATTATATTAAGTGAAATGAGTCAGATACAGAAGAATAATGGGTAACATAAAACTAAAGAAGTTTATCTCAAAGTAGAAGAGAGTAGTATGGTAATTAGTAGAAACTATGAAGGGAACAGGCATAAAAATATAGGACACCTGCCGTGCCAGCCCCACCCCCAGGCACACTGAGATTGGGATTGAGATTGGGTGTGGTGGCGCACACACCTGTAATACTAGCACTTGGGAGACTCTAAACAGGCAGATCACCACACGTTTGATTTATGCAGTGAGATCCTGTACATCCTGTCCTAAATATAAAACAACAACAACAACAACAACAACAAAACAAAAAACCAAACAAGATATTAAGGCACAGCGAGGCAAGTAATGTTCCTCAGTACAGGAGGATGATTACAGCTTGTAGAAACCTTTTATATGTTTTATGAAACCTAGAAGAGAAGAGCTCTAAGATTCCAAATGTAAAGTGATGATAAGGTATAGAGAGCCCTTCCTGGTGCTTCTATCAGTCCAAGTTTACATTTATAGTCCTAAAATAAGTTATTTGAATCCCATCAAGTTAATTCCAATCTACCACTTCCAGGGCAACCTGTGGTGAGAATAAAGACACTGAAGCATGTTTATAACTATGGAGAGCCAAGGGGTCCTAAGTCCAGTCACAAAGATGGCTATTTGGAACAAAGGCTCTTACTCAAAATCTAACCCAGCTTTTATCCATTTCTGAAGAGGGGAGTGGCTTGAGGATGAGTGACTGAGAGTGGCGGAAGTACGTGAGTGCCATGAGCTTGGCTAGGTAGGAGGTCTGCATTGACTTCTGCCATGTGCAGAGAGAAGTATATGCAGAAAGAGTAATCTGCATTATCCTACTGACGTAGTATCTAATGTTTTGGGGTCTGGTGCTTCAGCTCTGATGTGTAATCTTTCAAGCCTCAGGAAGTCATAGTCTCTATCTGGAGGCTCGAACTCAGCCAACAGACAGCATGGACAGAGAGAATGGAGCATTGGGTCTTTGCTCCATCTTGACCTGGCTTACATTAACGTGCAGCAGGTGGGGTTACAAGGGAAACACATGGACCATCTTCAAAGACTATCCCAAGCAACTTGGTTAGATTGATACGCATGGCTTAAAAGCCAATTGAAGGGACAAGGGAAAGTCCTAACCAGCTCTGTACATATCAGTACATAGAAATAGGGTCAGGCTCAGCCAAAACGGAGATGATTGCTCTTCTTCAAGGAGAGCTTCTCAAGGGGCCCTCCAGAATAAGGAGATGGAAATGTTAATCACCTTGACTCAATCTGAAATACGTAACAAATGTGTATTGAAATATCAAAATACCACATTGTGTACTGAAATATCACACTGTACCTCATACATTTGTGCCTTTATGTGGTAATTTAAAAAATAAAAAAATTGCATTTTGAAAAAGAAACATTTCTGTGCTGCAAGTAAAATGAGTATTAGAAAAAAGAAGTAAATTTTAAAAAATAATTTCTTTTTTATAGATGATCAAAATACTCTATAATTTTCCATGTATTTTTCCTTTCCTTGTTTTAAAGTATTTTCAGCCTAAAACATGCTATATTGATGAGAAATATATTCTTGAATAGTGGATAAATATATTTGTTATATAATAAAGAAATGACTATTATTTCAAAGTTGTTTTCATAATCAAAAACATAAAAATGTGATTTCTTAATAATCATTGCTACAAAATGAATTCTAAGTAACTGAGACAAGCCACAGTCTAAACATTTTCCAATTAAATTTATCAAAATATGGGAATAAAATAATAGCATTTGAATCATTTGTGACAAGGGTTATTCCAGTTATTGCCAGTTCTTATGACCTGGTTGAGCTAGGAGAAACCAGCAGGTAGAGAAAGGAAAGCTGCAGAAGGAATCTTAGGAAGGTAGATTTCTGAGGAAGGAATCTCTTTCTTTAGCGACTCTCAGCTTCCTCTTTCTTGGACCAGAGGAGCCACAGTCACTGGCAGAGCAGTGCTGCTAGGAGACATATGGCTGCAATCCTTGCTCCACTACAGGTTCCACCTGCCCTGCCCACGCACAGATTAGAGCAAGGACCTTCATCGTGCATGCGCTCCCATATAAGACTGTGTCTTCCACCTGTCACATTAACTGGTAGGTGAGTCGTACAAATAGCATGTACTGTGAGTTCATGAAATAAAATCATTGAGGACTAAGTAGTAGTTAGATTATCACCCTTTTCTCAACTTTATATGTACAGTTTTTGAAATGTGTAATACAATAAGAGAAGTAAACTTTCAAAGGCACAGTAGGATGTGTTTCAAAGCACATAGGTTGGAATCCTATATGTTAAAGGATACAGTCTCCTTGCTAGATTTCACATACTTTCAGTAGGTTACTTAAATTCTTTATGCCTCAGTTTCCTCATGTGTAAAATGGTATAAAATAATCCTATTTCATAACATTGTTGTCAATATTAAAATAGATATTGGTTAGGGAGCTAGATCTGTAGAATAAGCGCTTGCCTGGCAAGTGCAAGGGCCAGAGTTCAATCCTGGTTCTGCCAAATAAATAAATAAATAAATAAATAAATAAATAAATAAATAAATAAATAAAAAGATAGACATTGTTTACGGGGCTGGCCAAATATCTCAGCGGATTAAAGCATCTGCAAGCAGGCAGTGCCGGCCCCACCCCTGGGGCATGCTGAGACAGCACTTGAGACTGGGAGTGGTAGCATGCACCTGTAATGCCAGCCCTTGGAAGGCTGTAAACAGGCAGATCACTATGAGTCTGATCTAGTAGTGAGACCCTGAACACCCTGTAGACCCTTCCTTAAAAATACAAAGATAAATAAGTAAATAAATAAATAAATATAAAAAATAGATATTGTTTTAAAAGTACTTGTATGTTGTATGTATAGACATTTTTTCTCATGAAGTTTATTATATTCCTTAGGTAGACAAAAATCAGCAGGTCTCATATACTCACTACAGAATTTCATTTTGGCACTTTTAATGTAATTTGTGAAGCACAATTTTTTTCTACTTTATATAATGATTAGATTCTGTAACATTACTTCAGGCAGATTTCAGTGTTAATACACAAATGGCCGGATGATATTACTCACTTTTCTAGTAAGTGTAATCTCTACTAAACTGCAAATCAGGGAGAACATTCTTTCAATATTCATTTTAGGCAAATAGAAAATTCAAAGTTACAATTAGGTGGCAATTCAATTGTTATACAACAGTGCATTTCAGAAACACAGACACTAAATAAGAATCATTTGGTTAATGGTATGCCTTCCTAATAGACATTTTCTGCTGTGCCTGGAACCCAAGAATATCATTAAAACCACACTTTATATTTGTAGTAGGAAGGAAAGACAATGTAAAGTTTTATAGTTCTCTAATAAACACCTGGAAGTTTCACTGTAGAATTCTCACGTTTTGTATTTCTCCTCTAAGACTCGTCTCTAAAATACGGCCCTTCTCGTGGTCGGGGCTGCTGGACATACTACACAGTACTGGAAGGCGTTCGTCATTAGAGTACATGGTCCATAGATTATATGTGGCAATCCTGGCTCCTCACCCCCACTCCATGTCAGATTCCTTGCATTCAAAACTAAAATTAGGACCGGCCAAATAGTTCAGCGGATTAAAGTGCCTGCAAGCAGGCACAAGGGCGAGGAGTTCAACCCCTGGTGCCTGCTGTGCAGGTCCCGCCTCCGGGACATGCTGGGACATCAATTGAGACTGGGCATAGTGGCACATGCCTGTGATCCCAGTTCTTGGGAGGCTGTAAGCAGGCAGATCACTACGAGTCCAATCTAGTAGTGAGAACTAGAACACCCTGTAGACCCTTCCCTAAAATACAGAAAAAACAACAACAATGATAACAACAAAACTAAAATTATATGATTTCAGTTCAGAAGAAGTAGATATATTCAAACCCTCACAAACTAGCAAGGGACGCGTGCTATAGGAGAACTTACACGTGTGATAAACACTGCTAACTTTCAGATACACTTGATGAGAGCATAAATGGGATTCTGTTTATAGTTTAGTTTATGTGCCCTACTCCTGGGTGGCCTCATGAAACTGCAGAAAGCAGTAGTAGGAAGTTTGGCAGATTCTGGAAAGGAGGAGAATGGTAAACCAAAAAATAATAAGATCAAAGCATAGTCTCAGTTGTGTTTTATAGGTGACTCTAGTTTTTCCCAGCATGATTTGAGGTGGGTGTTGTGGGCAATTCTGGCCTAAATGAAGAAGAGCTCTGTCTCAGAGTCTGACGTGAAGTCACAAGGGAACACACTTCTGAGCCTTTGGTTTCCTCTGTCTGTCTGCCAGTGACATTTAAAACATCTGTCGAGAGAACCCAACCTGGAATAGAGGATGTGCATCTGTCCTTTGTAGTGGAATCACAAAGCTTTGTTGTTGTTGTTACAGTGCAGTCCTGCTGAAAGTTTTTATTTCTAACCCCAGATGGAGTTCTGACTCTGAAACTGGTGTGGGAATGGAAGCCAGAACTGAGATTGATGTATTTCTCCATTTGAACATTTTATTTGTCTTAAGGAGCGCAATTTAACCCCAGGTGCATCAAATTAGAGCTATGTGTGCAACACAAATTTATAGTAAGTCCTGCCTGAGTATGAGTGAATGTATGTAAACACCCCAAAAAGACCCCATTAAAATGTAAACATGAAAGAATGCTCAATACAGCTGTGGTCTTACCAGTTGCCTTGTGCTGTACATCTGGAGGAAGCTGGTCAAGAACATACCACTGATAGTCTGGCTGTGTGGAACAATAAAACATTATTATAGCAATATGAACTTCAAACAAAGCATAGTGACACATTAAAATATAATTATGCTCTGAGGTTTTTATTAAACAGGCAACATGAAAGTAATTTCTACCAAACTTGTTGCCAATCCCCCTTATCCCACTGACCTCCCTCATCACTACCATCATCTCTCCCTACCACCTCCTCACTTCATTGTGTTTGGTGAGAACTCCTGTGATTTGGGGGTTTCAGTGTGTTTTTTCTGTTTTTTTCTTCTGAGGCAGATGGGTTTTGAGCTTCTGCACAAGTATGTACATTTTTGTGATGTTTACTGCAGCCCATAAATAAGGCATCTTACCATCAAGAAATACTGTTTGTTAAACCCTTACACTGGAGGCAACTGAGGAAGCCAGAAGAACAGCCCAGGCTTATTGTTTCCTATTGGTTCAGGGAAGAAATCTAAGCTAGTCTGCGAACATGTTGTAGGAGCTCAGGGTGGTGAGGCATGACAAATGTCTCCCTTTGTATCTCTTTAAATTCTTCAGTTTGGACTTAAAAGAAATTAGACTCTTGCTTTTGAATTTCTCTCCAAGTTTACACATATTCACAGAAGATCAGTTAGATATTGAACATCAGAGAATAAGAACCCAGGTACTGAATAAATAATAAGCTCTAGACCTCAATAATCAAGATAGTGTCAAGGCTGTCATCTTAGTACTCAGTCCCCTGAAGAAATTTCAGCTTTACCTGCCCACTAAAGCTGTCTGTCCTGGGCCTTGGGAGATGGCTCAGTAGGGTAAGTGCTTGCCTGGCAAGCACAGGGTCCTGAGTTCAATCCCCGGTACCGTAGGTGGGGGGGGAAGCTGTCTGTCTTGCTGTTCCAAGCATTCACCCTGCCTCCAACTTCCCCCACAAGACACAGGGAATACAGACCTTTGGTCCAATTATTTAATCATCTCCTATAAATAATGCTACAGTGAGCCAGTAGGGAGCACTTCTTAGGACTGCCAGACCATAACAAGGAGTCTAAATGTTTGGTTACCTGACAAGACACCGAGAAATGCTGCATTCAATGCAGTCTGACCCCACTTCATCCTGGTGCGGACGGCTCTTAGCTCTTAAGGGCCCACAAAAGAGCTAGGGGAGGAAATGAGATCACCTCTGGTTTTTATCTTCTCGTTTATTTTAGATGTCTCAAGTAACACATAGGATATGTGAGGTGAGCCTCAGTTTTGTACTTTGGGCTCTTTTTGAGACTTTCCAAAAGAAGGAAAATATACTGTAATTTTACCAGTTGTGTTGTATGTGGTTTAATGTAAGCTTACATGGAGGCAAGAAATATAAAACATTCTTTTAAAATGAACACTGTGGTTTTGTTAGATTGAGATCGTGTTCAGTGAGATACTGCTTGAAAATGTAGGCTATTGTACAGAGCTTGGAATCCTTTTTCCAAGATAGAGCTTTATTTGTTGTTAATTTTGTAATCTGACCCTCTTTGCCTATTTTATGTGAAAGGAAAAATTTGTTGAGCCATTCTATGTAAATTCCTTCTTTTTTCAATTTATAAAGATATCACAGAAATGCGGTCTCCTCGATAAATTTAAATGACTGCTTATTTTTATAGATTATCTTTCATAACAATATTTGTCCAATTCTGCAAACCATAGGAACTAATTTGTAGGTTACTCTAGCTTTTTTATGTTTGCCCAAATCTGAGTTTACTCCTACATCTTTTAAAAATATTTTTTCAGAAGGATTTTTTTTTACAAAGCTAAACAAAAAAGAGGGTACAAATGAAAGACCATTTTGTATCTGTATATTCAAAATTGTTAGGATAGATATACAGCTGCATTCTCTAAATTCAATGAATAGAGAGATTTGTTCTAATAGTGTTTGGGAATAGATATCATGTCTGCATCTTATACGATTAATAACCACTAAGACAACAATATGCAATTTATTAATTATTGAAAATGTGCTAGTAATCGGTTTTAAAACTGTCTCATTGCTATTTGTTTCTCAATAAAATTATTAAAAAAATATTTTTAAGTGTCTGGAGAGATGGCTCAGTGAAATAAGCGCTTGCCTGGCAAGCGCAGGGCCCTGAATTCAATCCTTGTTCTGCCAAAAAAAAAAAAAAAATTAAAGAAATAATACATCTTTTTAAGGGTTCAAGGAAATTCCTGTTAAAAAGTTAAAAGAAAAAAAAAGCAGGTAAAGAAGACAGGAAATGGGGGAGGGAAAGCAAAAAGAACCAGCAATGACAACAGTAAGAAAAGAAACCCTCAGCAGAATGCTGTGCCATATCAGGGTCAAATAAGAAGTGCTCATTAAATCTTGACATCTTCTACCACCCAAAGAGTCATTATCACTGTCCCAGGAATCAGGCTTTATGTCACACTCAGAGACACAACCTAAGAGTTTCAGGCAACTCAGGGAACATCAAGGGTTTTACAAGTGCACTTTTAAAAATCCCAATTAAAAATCTTCAATTTTGGCATAATTAGAATCACAGGTAATAAAATCTAAGAGGATTGTTGTTGAGTGAATTGAAATGCAGAAAAACATGTATTTCTTTTCCTAAATACAGGTTTTGCCTGTGTAAGCCAAATGGGGAGAAGAAGCTAGCACCCATCATGGGGGAAGGACAGGGGGTGCTGCTCTTGAGCAGGAAAGGAAGGGGCGCTTCAGGTCTGATTCATTCAGGATGACTGTCCAAATCAATTCTACTCACAGATAATTGCTCAACTGTTCATTTTACTTTGCCTGGGTAGTCACAGTTACGGAGAGCTACTTAAGTGGGTCAGTTTATTTTGGATCTTTTAATAAAAGTCCTTTCAGTTGGAAAATGTCAAAAATGATTTTGCACATATGCAATGATATTCACAGTAGTTCTATGTATGTACCACTGAAGTAAGCATTTTATTTGTTTTGCTTATTCCTCTTTGCTTTTCTTTATGCTCATAAGTGTCTTTTGGGTAGAGTCAAACATGACCATGGAAAACTATCCATACAAAATGTTATGCTTCTTTAAGGAAGCACAGCTCAATTTGCTATCTGTTAGTTTATTTATTCATATCTATGTGCCTCATGGCTTCAGCGTCCCAAGGATAATTACAGTGTACATGGTCCATTGGAACTATGCAAATTGGAGATGGGCATGAAACAGAGACTCATTCCGTAGACAGTAGTATGTGCCAAAATTCCAGAAATGCATGTAAGTTCTACCAAAAGAGAAGATGAAGAGCTCACTGTTGAAGTGGGAACTGCTACTTACTGGGTGCTCTCGTTGATCCTGCACAGCCTTGGGGGCTGTTGGTTCCCATGGATCCGGCAGGTGGAAAGCAAAGTCACAGTTGCAGGTTGGGAGACCCATCTGGGAAGAGCAATGCCGTCAGTTCTCTGGACATGGCATTGTCACTCGATTTACACAATGCAACTTGGTTTAAATCTTCACGTTTTGCCTAATGTGACATAATTCCAGCTCAAAATAGCAAAGGAGTCAACAGAGAACCTGGGAGCTGAGGCCAGTGAGGCTTGCAAGTCAATTGGTTCTTCATTTTGAAGCAATTGGAAGGAGCTGAAGAATACATAGTTAACTGTGTTTCTGAGTCACATTCCTCAAAGGTTCTCATTAAATACAAACCGTCCATTAATCCATAAAATCAGTTTTATTAAACTCTAGCCAGAGACATAATTAAGGTCTAAGCAGGAAGTTATGAATTAAGATAAATAATATTTCTTCAAAACTACCAGAGAACTAGCAAGATGGAATGATTCAGTGCCGAAGAAGAGATTTTGTTTTCCAAAAAAGAAAAAATTACTGTGATGTAGGTTTCCACACAAAATGTATAAACAACTGTAAGAAGTACCAAGAAAATGTATTTTGCAGGTGTGGGTGGGTTTCTGAAGAAATTTCCACGTGCATAAACACCCACTAAGGCTGGCTCTAGTGGTGACGCTCTTCACAGCATGTGTTTTTCATGAATGTTAGGGCTGAAAAGCTTTGGTGGTTCTTAAGCACAATCCATTCATTCATATTTTAGGGGATAATGAAAACCACGGGTTGTCCTGGGCCATCTGTGGCAGAGCTTGAGTGTGTTTTAATTGGGACCATAAAAATATTGCACATGGGGAAAATGTGTGTGGGTGAAGCTTAAGATTGCCATTTTATCCATGACAACAGGGCATGATAAGGATAACATACCTGTTTTAGCTGCTCTTTTAGTTTTTCTTTCTCCATCTGACAAGCTTTTATCTGTGGGGAGAAAAACATTTGTTTAGGAAGAATTCAAGTCGCTGATTTCAAAACTGGATTTGACTCAGCTGTCAGTGACCTACTCAGAAACCCACAAGGAGGGGCACTGGTCACAGTCTTGCCAACCCTAAGTCGCATCTTGTCTCCTCAAGATGTGCATTGGTTCTACCTTAAAATTCTGAAGTGAAATTTGCAAAACTGAATAGTTTTAGATTGTTATTCCTATCTGCCAAGCCTATTATAATTATTAGCCTTGGAGTAGTCTATTTTTTAAGTGTATTTGGTTGTTAAAGGGTCTACTACATAGATTGGACTTGCAATCCTCCTGCTTTCAGCTTCCCTCGCTCTGGGTGTATGCTACTACATCTGGACTCTGTGGCCAGTGTTTGGGATCGAACCATGGTCCCTGCTCTTGCCTAAGCTTGCCTAAGCAAGCACCTCCATCACTGAGCTATCTCGCTGGCCCCAGGAGTAGTCCATTTGGATGCATATGTAGAAACATCTCTGTGGATCATTAGATGAAATAATAATTGGATAGCCTGACATGCAAAGGCTTCCACCATAAGATCTAGAGGATGTATAATGTTTAACACAGGTCAGACACTGATCTATAACCTTTATGCATGATAAGTTCTTGAAGCTCCCCAATGCCCTTATGTGATACTTTATTTTATCACCCCATGGGACAGATGAGATACTGAGTAAGTTGTTCAAAATCACACTGCTCTGCTTTCTGTCTTCTCACTACTGAAGTCCCAATTTTAGAAGAATTACCTAGATGGGGTTCTCACCATACCTGGTGGTCCTAGAAAAAGCTGGCTTTGCTTTGACTCTTTAGTCATACCATTGCCACCCTTAGATTCCATGTTCTACATCCCTATAAGGCATGATCAAATGTCCCATGTCTTGAAAGATAATTTCTTAGTCTTGACCATTGGAACTATTTCCTCCTCCCTTCCTCCTCTCATTTGGCCTTGTTTACTATGTTTACTATGTGACTTTTAGTCCAGTATACCCTACATATAATCAATTCTTGCTATTCATAGTAAATACAATCTGTAATATCATGTAGTGCTCCCAGGAGAAACTCAAGGTTAACTTCCTGTGAGCCTCTGGTTACATTTTATTCAATTGATGGATATATAATCTTGTTTTATGTATATTAATGTGAAACATACATTATTTAATATATACTATTGATTCAGTAAAATGAAACTCATAGTCAACAGGCATATAATTTATGCTCATACCAAGTTTATTTTACACAATTTTCTCTCTGTAGTAGCACATCACAGCCATGTCCTATTTAAGGATTCTGGGTAGTACATTAGCCCTAGGTGTGAGGCCAATGTAAATGTAAAATAACAAAAACAAACAAAAAACACAAAACAAAACAAAAAATGCAGAAAAACATGACCCTAAATAGACAACAAAAAGGCCCATTACAGTATATGAACTGAAACAAAAGGATGGGGGAGGGAGAGGTGAGGGAGAAGGGGCATAAAATGATTGAAAATGATCAAGCTGCATTATATTCATGTAGCAGTTTAACAAACAAATGTCACTATTGTGTATCACAAGCATACAGCAACGAAACATAAGAAGGCACCACAATGCCTTGTGTGACTTCAGTTGAGAATACTTTTCAGATGACTCAAGCTTGGTACTGAACTGTTAGGGTTTGTGAATGCACCACAAAAATGCCACAAACACTGATTTCAGGAGTAGATAAATTCACAAATACAGAATTTGCAAAGATGAAGACAGCCTGTACGTGTCTTTCAGTACTTTATGAATCCTTTCGTTGGAAGGATCAGTTTATTTCTCCCAGCACACTGCAGAATGAAAGGATCGAAGTGTAGAGCACATGCTAATCTTACAATTAAATGAAACTGCTAAACATGACCCCTTTGATAGACTATGGCTATAAAATGCTTTTGGGCCATGATCTGAGCTAGGGGTTTTTATAGAGGTTCTCACGCCTGTCCCAGCAGACAACAGAGAAGACCCGAGGTGGTTCCCTCTATTCAGATTTCATAGGTGAGTAGACTGAGCAAGGTTAGGTAATTTGTTTTGGCTTTAATGAGCATCCTAGAGATCATTTGGTCTTTTTTATTTTACAGATGAGGAAAAAGAAGCATAACATCAAACGAACTGCCCAGGGCTACCACCAATGGAGTGGCAAAGGGGACAGATTCCAGGCTCTTTCCCCTACATGACCCTGACTTTTAAGAACACTTAGTACCTTTCACTTCCCCGCATTGCCTGCTTACCCACTGTTCTTGCCTTACAACATCCAAAGTTATAAAAATGAACATACTCTGGGTGTAACTAGTGCCAGAGTAACTTGGCATGAAAATGCCCTTTAAACTTCAGTTCAACAACATGAATACTATGTTACTTGACTAAGCTAAAATCAGCTCTTTTTAATGTGTCATGATATTTAATCTGCTATTAATAAGCATAATGCAGATCGTCATGTCAATGTACTATATCTCTTTGAGAATCTTAATTATTTTTCTCTTGGAGTGAATGATTTTTGAAAACAAATATTGGGCTATTGTTATTTTAAAGAAAATTTTTGATAGTTCAATATCCTACTTATATTGGAAGATTGGCTCTTCACTTATACATACAACTTTGCCATACCATATTTAGAAATATATTTATTTTCTTGACATTAACAGAACATTACTTTACAGATGAAAATTACCTATAGGTCATAACCAAAGATGTTAAGTAGATAGATATATGCCCCTGAGTGGCCTAAAAGTTCTATAAAGACACACTAGCAGCCAATCTTAGGCATCCATTTACCATCAATTTGAACTCAATATAGACAAATGAATAAAATTAAAATGTAGTAGAGGTGAAATTATATGTTCACTGGTAACAAAATTCTTTAAGACCACTTTACATGTAAAACATAAAA